CCCGTTAGGTGCTGTATGTCTCCCCACCTTGTGGACCAGATTTTTTTAGTTACTGTTTAAATTCGGATTTTTTTAAAGGATTTCATAATTCATTACAGAAGAAGCATCTTTCTCTCGTCTCACACCCGTTCTATTATTACGGATAAAATTTTCTATATTAATTAATTTTAAAACACTTATTCATTATTCTAAACTAAAAGTTGTATAAAATAAGATGAAAGCTTATTTGGTTGTCTTTCTTATAATCCCAGTTTCTAATGTATTTGGATTTTTGCTTTTGATTTTTTTTTTTGTTTTTGTGGTTTCAAAAAAATATATGACCATGAAATATGATGTTAATCGGGATGAAAATTTAACAAATTAACCTAACATTTAACTTTCTTTTGCAACAAGTGATTGATCATTTTATTTAAACTTGTGTACTTGTATTTTTGAACCTAATCTTTATTAATTGACAAAATAATTAATATTTGCTAATAACGACAGAGAAGTCATTTTAATTTTTTTCCCTCATAAGTTAGAGAAATGGTTATAAAAAACTTTCCATATTAGGACCTTAACAACTATTAACAATATTTACAAACTAGGATTAGAAGAGAAACACCCCCCCCTCTTTCCCTTCTCTAACTTAAATTGATCAAAGAAGAGGTGTCATCACTTGGGTCCCCTGCAGATGTCAGGCTATACCTACTCTGTCATGGGTACATTTGGTATATGCATGTGAGTGTGAATGTTTACTAAGCATATGAATATTAAAGTTACATTTTTTTTAATTATTTAAGTTTTTAAGTTTTTAAAGTAGAGTCAAAAATTTTAAATTTAAATCTTATTATTATCTTAATTAAAAAATTAAAAAACACATTAGATTAAAAAAAAGCGTGTTGAAGGATATATAAATATTAACAAATGTGATATCGATCTCTACACATATCTTTTCGTGTGCCTTTATTTTGCAATCATACATCTTTCAAGACTGCTGCTATGATATATCACTCTTTCTCCTTGACATGACCATGTCTTTTTTTTATAGGCGCAGCCATGTAATTTACTATTATTATTCATTAACGGCATCAAAGCTTCCACGTCACGTTCTGTCCAATTCAGAATAGACCTTTTAGAAATATTAGAATATTTGCAGCAATTTTATAAGGGGCATTCTGAATTGAACGAAACATATCCTATTATTTTTTATCCACGAAGTATAATGGTATATTTGCAACATTTTTATAATGTAAATTCCGAATTGAACGGAACATGTTTTATTATTTTTGGCCCACAAAATATAATGGTAAAATTTTGAACGGAGAAAGGATAGAAAATAGTGTTTTTTTCTCTGAAAAAAATAGTTTTAAATTGTGAATAATCATTTTTAAGTACAAGAGATGTAAAAAATGTAAATTTTTTTTTATTTTTATTTTTATAAGAATATTTTCTTTACAAAGATATGTTTATTACTTTCTACTGTATCAAAATAACATTATTTTATATTGAATCGTAATTCGTATTCTATCGGAACACACTACTTATTACATTTAGATACGCATTTATAACATGGGTAAAACTTGTTACGCTTATGTGAAGTGTCAAATCATTTTTTTAATGCACTTGGAAGTATTAAATTTCTTCTCACATGGGAGAGGATGTTGATGTGCTAGCTCTTTCTCAAAAAATTTGATGCATTATTCTTTATATGCAAACATTATTAACTTAGAGAGAACATGCTATATTCACTATGTATTTTTAAGGGTTTTTTATTTTTGTTTTTCATAATTGGGCTTTTTGTTTTTTCACTATGTATTTTCTAGGGTTTTTTATTTTTGTTTTTCTTAATTTGTTAATTGTTAGTTTGATGTTTTTAAGGGTGTGTTTTCATGTTATTCTCTCCCACCTCTCTCTCTAACTTTCTCACTCTAACCCTTTCTTCTTCTTTATCACTTTGCCTCCCTGCTCTCTTCCTTCCATAGAGTGGAGAGATGATGACCGTCTCCCACGACTATAATAAACTCGACGTGTTTCAATAAGTGCGCTCCGTAATTGTTTTTTAAGTCATTTTTGTTTTTCTTCTATTAAATCTGTTCATGTTCGGTTCGTTTTCAAATCACATAGGCGAATTTATTATTTCCTCCGACTAGATCTTTGGTTTGGGTCGGTTTTTGTTTTTTCTGTATCGATTTAATCTTTTTCTTCTTAATTTGATCTTGTGCGGAATTTTTTTGTGTGTCGGAGCGCCTTGTGATTGTAATTTTGGAGCGGTTATCGTGCTGATGGCTAGACCTTTCGGTCTCTCTAGTTTGCTATGTTCTCTCATGATAGTTCTGTTTGCAGAGTATTAAGCTCTGTTTCTTCCACAACTTTTTTATTTATTTGCTTTGGTTCAAGATTTGTACGTCTTTTTTGGCTTAGCTTTAAGCTTGTTTTTTATTTATTTCCTTTGGTTTAAGTCTTTTTTGACTTGACTTTAAATTTCTGCATTGCCATATTCACTTTAGGGAGAGAGAGGGAGAGAGAGAGAGAGAGAGAGAGAAAAAAAAAAAAAAAAGAAGAAGAAGAAGAAGAAAAAAAAAAAAAAAATAGTGCTGGCGTTATGTGTATTATAAGAAGTAAGTAACATCACAATTTTCACAAGTGTCAGAAATGATAACGTCGTCACAAATTCATTGTCAAATCAAAGTAATGTTGGTTTGTGAAAAGCCATTTCTCGGTCTGGGTGAATAGTTGTTTATACACCTGTATCGTTTGGGATAAAAGTGTGTTTGTGAGTTAATTGTGATGGTAAAATAAATAAATAAATAAATAATTACTCCGTATTTTTTTAGTAGGTAAAATAAGATTAAAGAAACAAAATTACGGAGTACATATTTACAAGGGCCATGCCCCCAGGTGAAGATTTCAGAAAAATCAGAAACAGAAAATTTGACTTGTTAGTTCAGTTTTATGAGAAATAGTTGTGTTTGTTTTTTCAGAAGTGAAAATAAAAAATTGTAAAAAAAACTTGACTGACAATTTCTAAAAATTGTTTTTGAAAACCCGTTAAAAATATCTATTTTTAAAGAATTACTTTTTTATAATTTTTTAAAAATAATTTTTTATTTTATAAGTTCTTAAAAATTATTTCCTCAATCAGAAACCAAATAAGTCTCCAAGAGTTAGAGGGAGGGTGCTCGAACAAGAGCTTCAAGACAAAAAGAACAACCCAACAATCTCCTTCAAAACAGTAAAATTCAAACCCTAAGCAATGGCCGGGCCCATTGTCTAGCCACCATCACATCACCTATGCAATAGGCCATAAATGCTTTATTCAGACGTAAGTTACACAGTTTTTTTTTTTTTTTTTTTTTTTTTAAAGAAATATCGCTCTCATGCTCCGTCCAAATGCGTTTCTATCATTGTTTTAATGTTCACTATGTGTAACTTATATTTTGTCTCCATCACGCTCCTAATTCTGCACCCATTATATATAACTTAAATCTATATCTCTTCTTGAAAATGTCTATTGCATTTAAAAAATTTCATTCTTGAAATTACCCTTCAAGAGATTACCAGATTACTAGACGAAGAGATTTATTACATGCCTATATGGTATATACGTTTTATAAATGGTCAAATTATGTCCACCCAATAAGCATATATATCATCTTTTTACTGCACTTCTCTCTATTTGACCCCTTTCCTAATTATTTTTAGACAAAGAAAAAAAAAAATTTACAGTTCGTTTGTTTTGATGTAATATATATATATATATATATATATATATATATATATATTTTTATTTTATTTTTTTTTGGTTGTTTGACAAAGGTTCAAGTTCAGGTTAAGATTGAGTATATCAGATGGAACATGTAAATAACTTACTGAAGATTAATGGATAAGTTATTTTTATTAAGTTTTAATATTTTTTAATTTATAAATATTTTACGATAATCAAACATAAAAAAATATATTTTTTATAAAATATTCTACATCCAAGGAACTTAAATATAGGAGTCATTTCTTGATTCGATAATAAAGTTGAATTTGACAAATGAAGAGGTGAGTTGAGCACAATAACAACTACTTTTTCCTATTTATTTTTTTCAACAGTTATACCAATAATCCCTTAACCTCTTCTTTCCAAATTTTTGTGTGTGGATTTTTTTTTTTTTTTTAATTTTTTATTTTGTGTGCGTGAGAGAGAGAGGTGGATAGATATATATATATATATATATATCTCTTAGTGTAGTTGGCGGCAGAGATTAAGATAAAAATTGAATACCCACTACCCCCACTAATTTGGCAATGACATGCAATACATATTGCAGTAGCCACTGTTGTTTTCAACACGATTTGGACTTTGGAGTGGAAGTGCATCCTCCCTCCCACCTAATACCCCATCCATTCATTTGTCCCCCACTTTATTAAAATTGGGAAAGCCAAAGGAAAAGTCTTTTGAGAGACCCATTTAAAGCGGGTGACCCACCCACCTTCTTTACTGCCACACACACATACAGCTGTTGCAGCACAGCTGTTGCTCTTTGTGGTGCTATTTTACTTTCTCATTTCAACTTCAATAAGTGAGTTGGACTTTAGACAGGACAATTTGTCCTCTTCTCCCGTAACTACTTCTTCCAGATGGGTTTTCTGAAATATATAAAGCAACCAAGATGATGCATAAAATTGCTGCTCCATTTTTTATACAACTTAAATTCCTAGTTACCATTTGATCTAAATTTTGTCCAATTCTAATTAGAATTAGAAGAAATTATAAAGTTTAAACTAAACTTTATTCAATTCTAATTTTAATGCGCTAATTCGATTTGAAATTAAAATTAGAAGAAATTACAAAGTTTGAAATTAAATTTCTCTTCTTTTTTTTTTTTTTAAATTTTAAAGTGCTGATTCCAAACAGTTTTATTTATTTATTTATTTATTTTCAGTTCAGTGCAATGAAATTTTAGAAGTCCATTCAAAGCCTGAAGCCCACTATTTGCAAGCCACGGGGGCTGACAATGGGTTTCTAAGTTCTAACTTAGGACGGTCGCGGTCCGTTGACTAGTCAAAGCCTGACCCACCCAGGCCCATCTGTGCCTGGAATTCCAAATCCATGGCCCGTTCTACAAAAGGATGTACATGTTTAGACAGTAAAGAATTGTGGAGTGTAGGTTGGAGAGAAGCGAATGTATCAGAAGCTCCCCACCAAACCAGCCGAGGAAAGAATGGACCTAAGAAAGGACAAGGTTTGATTCCTTTTGCTCGTTATCCATGTCTGAATCATACATGTATCTATTTATATTTATATATATGTGTGTGTGTGGAATTTGTTTTGTAGTTGATCGTTGTTCTGTTACGTTGACTCTTCATTTTCTTATCCAACAAATGTCTGCAAGAATATATACTCATGGGTTAATATTAACTATGAATGTGTGAAACTGGAAAGAAAATGGTATTATAGCAAGGAAATTTATTGCTATATCAAAGAGAGTTTGCACAAATTATTTTGTAGTTGGTATTTTTTGACCCTATTCGGAAACCCTTAATTAAGTAGCTGATCTGAAGAAAATTTTATCTAATTAATTATATCATCTTTAATGGTTTGATTATTGCTTCCTTTTGTGTTAAAATGGACCCACTTTTTTAATTTTAGCATTTCAAGTGAACCTTAATTTTGACCAAAATGTTGCATTTCTTCTTCTTTTAGAGTGAACTAAATTCCGGAATGAAAGCTTCTGATTATGTCTACCCAAGTACGGAAATGGTATAGTTGGCTCTAGTAATCGTTACACTTTGACCCCATTTGCTTAGGCTTACCTTTTTATTTTATTTATTTTAATTGGCGCCCTTCCGTACTCGAGCTTGAGCTTGATTTGAATTTAATCAATGTAGTTGAAGTGTGACCATGTAATGATGTAAGCTATGCCTTTTTGTTAGCATAGTCAAACATCCATATTACTATTGTTAAGGCTATGAACTTAGAAATGGAAAGTAATTTGATGAAGTCACCTTAAATCTTTGTAACTGACCCCTAATTGAATTGTTTAGGATTCAGAAGTAGAGAATATTATTTTTTGTACTAATAGTGATCAATTGGTGTATTATCAAATCACGCCCCATTCTACGTCTACAAATGACATAACAACATCCTCAAGCAACAGATTTATTCCACTTGTCATCATTTCTTTTGAGTAGTGTCTTAAAAAGATTATGTACTATCGTTTCATGATGATTACCTCGTTTCGACGAGATTCTAATAAGGCCAAGCCTAGTGTTGGCGCCAGCATGGCTTGTTCATCCATCAATTTGATTCTGATTGTGGTGGACTAGCTTGAAAAAATTATCTCGCTGTATTAATGAGAAGCATCTTTGTTTCTCTACCTAACAGACCTGTCGTTGACTGATTTAGACTCTGTTCAAAGGAAGAAAAAGATCCAGCTTCATTTCCGTACTTCTCAAACAAACTTGGGTGAGCTGCCAAACGAGCTAATCTCAAGCTACTCAGTTTGTTAAACGACCTACAGCCTACTATTTCTACATGGAGTGTAAACCATTACCTAGGAAGCATGGACACGCCAAAAAACATGTCCTTTTTTTTTTTTTTTTTAATATTCGGACACACTGTCAACACACCATGGATACGTATCTGACATGGTTGTCCCATTCTTGGGGAATTTTTTTTTGCTTAAGTAGGCATTCTTGGGGATTTTAAGAAAGTTTTAGAAAGAAAGCTAGGTTGAAGTGTATATACAAGGAGTTGTTTAATAACTTTCAGTAATATGATGATCATTACATAATTACTTAAAAGTAGTTGTTTTATAAAATAATTTTATATTAAAACAATAAAATATTTATGCTCTTATTTAGTTCAAAGGTTCAAACTCTTGTACGATCATCCCCCCCCCCCCCCCCTCCCTCTTTTCTTTCTTCTTCTTCACAAACCCTAAATACTTCTTTTCTTTTCCTTCACAACTAAAATCTTTTTGCATCTCTTTTTCCTTTTCCCTATTCTTTCCATGATTTTTTTCTCTTCTATGAATACTTACCTTTATTTTTACCTAAGCCCTAATTCTTTTTTAAACAAAACTCTAATCCTCATTGTTTCTCTATTTTTTTCTCTTTCTTAAAACTCTTTCTATCATTATTTATTTTTCCCCTGCAAATCACAATTTAAGTTGATAAAAAAATATATTATTCTTAATTTCTTAAATTACAACATCATATGTATATAGCTAAAATATATTTATTATTCACCGTGTCTCTGCCATGGCCATGTCATAAATTTTTAGGATTTGCTGTGTGTACGTGTCGTGTCGTATCCACCTCCTGTATCCATTTTTGTGCTTCTCAGATCATAACTAAGTAAGGGTTTGTCGCGATATTGTTTAATTTTAACTTTTTAAGCTCAAAAGTCAATCAGATTTCATTTAAAGGAGATTTACTCTTATATGACCTTGAATATCTGATAAGTGGGGTGGAAACACATCCTGTTTGAGGAATAATGCCTTTATCACGGAAATATGAATCGAAAGGAGCTGAAAAATATTCTTTGCCATTATCAGAATGCAAGACACAAATTTAAGATCCAAATTGAGTTATAGTAAAGTGACCAAACGACACAACCACCTATGACAAAAATAGTGGTAGACGGCAACAATATGAAAGCGAAGGAAAAGAGAAGACTATGTTTGGGAAATTTTCAGTGAGACTCCTGATCTCTTCTCATCATACATACAACAAAAATAGTTACAGAAAAATGACCAACATGCCCTGATAAGAAATACAAAAATAAACCTATATACATTCTAACATGGATTATATAATTCTTGCCTGTTATGTCATTATGTTTGGATTTGATTGTACTAATTCATTATTAAGGGTGAAAATTGACTCTACATTATTTGTTTTTGAGTATTTTTTCTATTAAATAATCATTCTATGTTAGTTTGATGACTTGTCCAGATTTGCATTTACTCCTCTACTATACCCTTGTGTTCCTTATGTAGATGGATCTGTGGGTCTAAAAATCTCTAAATTTTCTGCCTTTCCTAATGCATTTCTGAGATGTTTCCATTCCCTAAGCTAACTGAAGCAGTACTCTAAAAAGAATATTTTATCGTTGACGTACTCATTTAACTTATTGGCCGTAACAAACACACCTGTCTTCTACTTAACTATAAGCATTGATTGTAGCCTGATTATCTTCCAATAATCATGTCCTACTGCTTTTATCTAACAACATTAAAAGCACCTGTATTAGCTTTAGGGTTTTGCAGGGGCAAAAATGCTGCCTGTAGCTTTTATAATATATCTGGATTAAATCCACAGTTCCTTTTATAAATTAAAAAAATAATAATAATAATAATAAAATCAGCCTTCCACTTCTTGTTTTGTTGTTTTCTCGGGTTAATCTGTTAATTGCATACATATGTGCAAATTTCTCATGTTGTGGTATTTCATATTACTCATTCACACACATTGTTATAAATATATTGATTGTGATTCATATCATAATGTACGGGTTATTTCAAATTGATTGGTTTTGATAATCTGCTCAAACATCTAAACTAATTTCATGGTTGGCGGCGTCATTTATTGCAGTGATAATGGTTGTGGTTGAGCAGGAAGGACAATAGTGATGTTGGGTAGCACTGCGATGTCACCATAGGTAGTGGTGGTAGAGCTAGTGGCAGTAGGATAGTGACTGGTGGTCACATTCGTTTGGTGGCACTAACTGTGGATGGTATCTGGAGCAGAATATTTTACATGGGTTTAACTGTGTGAAAATTTTACTTGAATCTTCAAAATGAGTTCGTTAAGTTGTTCTCATAATCCCTAAAACCAACAAATTCAAACAATTTCAAAGCACCAATATAAATTGTAGAATTTATTTTTAATCAATGGTGATGAAGCATTTTTGAAATTGCAATAACACTGCAGCCTATGTTATACGCTTTGCGTTGGTAATTTGTTTTTAATATACTCATATTATCTTTGATCTTTTTGTTAATGTGATGCTAACGTCCAGGTATAGAACCTGGAACTGAATGTGTTGTTTTCTTTGGTAAGTCTTTTTCATTTTCTCGCATATTGTTGCTGCAGCTTCCTTATATAATGTTTCAAGCACTTTGTCTTTGCTGCAACCCCAATGAGATTTTAACTTTTGGTTATTTATTCGTAGATGAACTTTCAGCAATTAAGAGACTATTTGGTGAAGCTTACGTATGTAAAAGTAAATTCTGAATGACAATAGATAAGCATGACTTGCAAATTCTGTGGAGACAAGAACTTAAGATTTTCTGATTTTCGAGAGTTCATTATGAATCTCTTCACTCAGCAGATTTGAAAAGACATCAGGATTTTGAACCCTTGGAAAGGCATCTGTGACTAAGTTCCACAATGAGAACAGAGCTTTCTTTCGGCCTATTTCCACGATTTTGTTCTTGGGAACAGAAAGGCCCACAGGTATGGGATTGCATTCTCACTATCATGTAATTATCCAGTTGTCTCACCAGCCAAAGATTTTAATTCCTTCTTAATTTAAAAAAAAAAAAAAATCATTTGTTAACCTTAAAGAAATATCCTTTTTTATACTTATACAAAAAAAAAAAAAGAAAAAAAAATATCCTTTGTTACTGCGCATACACTTTAATTTAATTAAAACATTTTGCAAAATTGAAACCTAGTAAAACTTGTAGAAGAAAATACCGTAATGATATTGAGACACACACACACACACACACACATATATAGAATTGGCTGATTTAATGAAAAAACATGCAAAGAAATAAGATAATAGAATAGTGAGAGAAGCTACGTATATCGCATATGGTTATATCTATTTTAAGGTTAAACTACACTGATAACCCTTGAGGTATAGCCTAATTACACATGGATTGAAAGAATAGGCATAATTACACCGACCTCCCTTATCGACATTAGCAAGCTTAGGGATGTGAGATGTTGGAGAAAATGTCGTTTATGATGATGATGTAATCATCACCCCAAGTATACTTAAGCCATGACCTTCATGATTCAAGCTTATGATTGATTTGTTAAGAGATAAAAGATGAAAGGGAAAGAAGGTTTTTTTAATCATCATTGTCCATCTCTTTCTAAGTGTGTCTTCTTTTTATCTCTAATCGGGTCTGTGTGCGCGCGTGTGTGAATTAGATAACAATTCAATCTTATTTGTTCAAAACTGCCTTGAGTCTTCATTAGTTGACTGTATATGGATAGTGGGTGGTGGTATATGAATAGTTTCCAACTTCAACGAGGAAAATGCCATTTCATATCCCAAGGGAAGATGTTATAATATTGTCCATTCTTAAATGTGAGTGTAATTAAGACAAACCTTTAAGGGAGATGAATGTAATTTAGCTTATTTTAGATTAGGTACAAAGGATGGGAAGAAGAACATACACAAATTTTCTACGTTAATAGAGCAAACCCAGATATTTTAACAGTATTAAGTGCATCAAGATTGTGGATCTAAAGATTTTAGAGAAAGATGATGAAATTAGATAAATGTGGAAAACTTACTCTCAGATGTTGTTGAAGAAAATCATATAAGTTGTGTAGGTTAAGAAAAATACGATAACTATAGGGAGATTATAGAAAGAAAAAAAAATCCGCAAGATCAATATATGCAAGATAGAAAATTGCATTAAGATGAAAACAAGAAAGGATTTAGGATCTCATGACATTTTTTTTCTTCATTTTTGATAAGTAGGACCTATTGACATTCCTATTGAGGCTTGGAAGTGTTTTGGTGATATGCGTTTCTTGGCTAACAAAATTATTCAATACCATAACTAAAGATATGCTTGATGATTGGCGTAAAAGTAGTTTAGTACACATACATAATAAGAAGAAGATATTTTAAATGTTCAAATTATCATGGTATCAAATGAGTAAGTCATACTATGAAACTATGGTACACTACAACAAATTTGATTTGGCCACAAAATTTTTTGCCACAAAAGTGAATTTGTGGTTAATTTTTTTTTGGAACAAATAATAAATTTTTTGGTGAAAGATAAATTAATTGGCACAAACAATATATTTTGTCGTGAAAGCTAAAATAATTGGCACAAATAATAAACTGTGGTAAAAAAAAAAAAATTATCCAGAAGGGGTGGGGTGAGTTTTCCAAACGGTATCCAATTCAGAGTTCGAAGTGCGAACCATGTTAGGTTTTGGGAGGATCGCTGGTGTGGGGACTTTGTTTTGGCTAGTAGGTTTCCTCGGTTATTCAGGATCTCTTCGAGTAGACATGCTTTGGTTGCTGACTTTTATTGGCTTCATAATGAAAGGTTGACTTGGGATGTGCATTTTTGTAGAGAGTTGCATGATTGGGAGCTTACGGAGGTTCCAGAGTTTAGCCTTGCTTTATAGCCAGGTGGTGGAGGGGGCGGGAATGGATGAGATGGTGTAGGTGGATAGTGGGTACACAAAGTTTGGGGATAGAGCTTTTTATCACAGCCTTTCGGAGATCCTAGGTCCTTCCTTTCCGTGGAAGGCAATTTAGAGGTTGAAAGCCCCATTGAAGGTGGCTTTCTTTGCGTGATGTGCCGCTTATGAAAGTATTCTTACCCTTGACAATCTCAGGAGGAGACAACGGATTGTGGTTAACTGGTGCTGTGTGTGTAAGAAGACGGAGGAATCCATCAATCACCTTCTTCTGCACTGGCCAGTGGCTAGAGACGTTTGGGCTATGCTTTTTATCGTGTTTGGCATGTCTTGGGTGTTCCCAAGATACATAGTGGATTTGATTTAGGCTTGGAGAGGTTGTCTAGTGGAGAGCCGAGCCAGGGATGTTTATGGTGGGGCTTGTGGTTTGAGAGAAATAGGAGATCCTTCGAGGATGAGGAGACCCCTATTTGGTCTCTTAAATACAAGGTATTGTATTCTTTAATTTTTTTGGGTTCATGGGCGCAATTGTAAATCCTTGGGACATCTTTTGGATTTTGTGGATAGCTTAAACCTATAGTTGTTGCCTTTGGCGTCTTGTGTATTATTTTGGGAGCGCTTCCCTCTTGAGCGCTTTTTATGAAATCTTACTTGTTAAAAAAAAAAATTGAAAAAGAAGACTTTTTGGCACACACAATAACTTTTGTGACAAAAAATCTTTTGCCACTAAGAGTATATTGGTGGCTAAAATGACTTTTTGGCACAAACAGTAAATTTTGTGGCAAAACTAAAATTTTATTACAGTAATAATTAAAAAAATATATAAATATAATTATATCCACTCTTTCTCCACTTTCAAATTTTTTTTAGGGTTCGCTCATTTCTCTCTCTAAACCTTTCCTTGCTGATCAGTCTCTGGTCGAGTCCTTGCCGATCAAATCTCTTGCCGGTGGAATCTGTCGCCGATCGAGCTCTCGCTGGTGGAATATCTCTCTGACGAAGGCTTTCATCGCTCCAATTGCTTACCAAACCAAGCTTGTGCCGACCAAATCTCGCATGAACAAGTCACCAGTGGCATCAAACCAATGGTGAATCGGCACCTCTGTTCCTCACTCAAAGCTCTCAATGACCAGATCTGTCGTGGATCATCTCTCTCATGGTTTATATCAGGTGAGTTTGTATATGTATATATAAATTCATTTATGTAGATTGATGCGTTCGTTTTAATGTTGCTTTTGCTTGTTCGATCTGTTCGTTTTTCTCGCTCTTTTATTACAATTTTTTTGATTAATGCTTTTAGATCGCCAATTACTTTTCTTTTTGCTTGTTTTAAGCAACAATTGAAATATATTTGTGTGTTCTGAGCAACAATTTATTAATTGCAAATAAATTTGATCATGTCCAATATTTTATATATTTTTTCACATTTCAATTAATTAGGTTCAATGAATTTTGTTTATATATGGTATCATTTCTACTTATAAAAAAAAAAAAAAAAAATATGGTATCTTTTCTCTTCTTTCAAAAAGAGAAGTGTATTTGAAGAAGTCACGGGGGACCAATAGTAAAGTCACACAATTTCTGGTATTTGCATGTGTTTTAGTTACAATTTCAATTCTTCCCCTGTATGTTCGAAGTATGTAGTATAGTTATAATGTTTAGGTATCAAGAATTGAAATACTGAATTTTGAATCTCATCATATAACTATTTATTTATTTTCTCTTTTCATTTTTGGAGAATTTAATTGAAGAAATCAACTCAACCAAGTGAAATTCTTGTATTAAGATTGGTTGAGTGGGAATTTTTTGACTTACTAAGTTTTCAAACAATGGCAATTTCATCAAACACGTGTACTTGGGTTTTTGGTAATGAAACAGCACTTGGCATTAATACCAAGAATGTGAAGTTGTGGAACTTAATAGATGTGTGTAGCAATGGATAATGCAAAGTATGTCGATTTCTAATTGTGTTGTTTGTCAAAATTAATTTTAGGTCCTCTGTCAATGGATGTATTGCAGATGAGACCAAGGAAGAATGACTTACAGATAACTATGAAAATTAATAATTTCCTATCTCAGAATTTTATTTTATTTTTCTTTGAATTTAAAAAATAAAATAAAATTCTAATATTGTCCTTCCAACAGTTCAATGACTAACTCTCTCCTAACCCACAAATTAAACCTTATACTACAACAGCCAATATCAACTTTTGCATCCACTTTTGCTGGAACCTGGAAAAAGAATATACTATAGGTTCGGCAATAATTTAAATACCATAGCTAAACATTCTGAACATCATGCCGGAGTATCAAGACTTGAGTTCTTCACTATCAACAGTTTATCAAATCAGTGATTAACATCAATCATTTGGCACCTTGTGTTTTTGGGGGCACTTTTGCTGTTTTGCATAGAGAGGGCATGGAATTGTTCGGTTTTAGTTTCTCTCTATTCTATATTCTATTTTTTGCTCTTTGTTTTCTTTTCTTTTCTTTTCTTTTCTTTTTTTTTTGAAGAAAATAAAATAGCTTGAGTGTTGAAATTAAATTATGAATATATGGATGTTCTTTTTATTTTTCGTTTTTGTCTATTTTCATTAAATGAGCTAGCTTTACCTCTGAATCCTGATTTTTATTGTGCATTTTTTTTAGGATCTGTTTCCTTTTTTGATATTTTTGCAAGCTCACTTTCAGTATTCTGGTTTTTCAAGGTGCCAAATGATTTCCTCTCTTCCATGTCTCATACATATTGGAACATGACAATGAAGAAAGCATACAATGGATCAATTTTCAGTCAGACTTTAATATGTTAAGATATAAAAGAAACTTTTGAATCCAACATTGGTAGTTGATTAAGCAGAGCTCATTGAGGATTTGTAGAAGTGCACCAATTTCAGAAGAGGTAACAATCACTTATATTTTAAGTAAGATTAAGATACCAAAGGATCAAAGGAAATGTGTTTTGGTGACTATGATTTGGGCATACTGGAACAAGATTTAAGAGTTTTCTTTTTTCTTTTTCTTTTTTTTTTTCAATGGTGAAGATAAGGTGAATGGTGAATGGTGCTCTACTAGCTTTCGCAGTAAAGGTGAAAGGTGAAGATAAAAGTGGTTGAGACTTTAAAAAGCATTTTCACCACTTAATTACTTTAGCTAATGGCTACGGATGTTTCTAGTAAAATCATTCTGAGAGTTCAAGGGATATATGTCTTGAGTATCAACGTTTTCAAATTTAAGTATAAAATAAAGCTAACTAGTCATTATCAGCTTTTGAGCCCTTATGGTCTAAAACACATTCTTTAAAGAATAGATAAATTTGATTTTAAGATTGTAAAGAGTCCAAGCATCTTCTTGTATCTTTAGTTTCTCTCCAAATTGTCATTGCCTACTGTTGATGACATGACGCGGTGTTGTGCGTTGGATCACCAACGAAAAACAGAGAACAGTGGAGATGATCTGTTCCCTCAAAGCTTTCTTCTTCTAGTTTGTATATCCCCCTTCTCTCTCCCTCTCCTTGCTTTGCTGTGAACTGCACATCGCATTTTTCCTAAAACATGAACTTGTGTTATTACAGGAGCTTGGTCAAGGTGAAGCTAACATTGGTCAGACTCTATTCGTCTTCATTTTCTTATCATTTGTCTTTGGTAAGTTCTCGACACTTTTTTTTTTCTCCTTTCAACACATTTCATAATTTTTCACCTGAAGAAGAAGAACAGAAGATTCCACTAATAATTCAGCAAGGTGGGGCTGCTGAATTGATAAAGTAGGAATAATAGTATAGGGTCCATTATTATATTAACTGAGAGCTGAGCTTTCTTTTCTGTGGTGGGCATGCAGTGCTTTTATAATATTTCATTTAAATGATGCTTTTGTAATATTTCTCTATTGTCGCAAGGATTTTGTTTTTTTTTCTTTTTTCTTTTTGTTTTAAATTGTGAAACATGTAGTTCATTTAAAATAAACAATGCAAATAAGTTTCTTTCTTAATTATTTCAACTTTTTCCCCTATTGATTGTATATAATTGAGGTTGTACTATCATCTTTTCTCTTTTTGTTTCTATGATGGTTTGTGTTGTGAAAATTAAGGTGAACACTAAGAAAGTAAAAAATTAATGCTATTTATTTATTTTAATAAAAAATATACTTTTTCCGCGAAAGCTTGTTTGTGACTACTGTTAACTTTTTGCCAGCAAGATAAAATTGTGGTAAAGTTGAGACTTTTAGGCATAATAATTTTTTGTGCTAAAAGGTATGGTTTTTTGCCCCACAAAAAAATTTGTGGCCAATATAGTTTGACCATGAAACCTTTTTTTGTGCCTAAAAACAATTCTTCACGGACTTGTGGCCACAACCTTGCCACAAAATTATTTTTGTGGCAATTAATTTTTTATCACAATATTTTGTGGTAGTGAAAAACCTAGTTTGTTGTAGTGGTAGAGAGTTATTGAACTAAGAGTAGGCAAGAAACGACAATGTTAGACAATTAGTTTGAATTTATGCTGGAGAGGCCAACAATGGAAGTTTATATATGGGTTAAGTGCACTTAACACCCCTCTTATATACCTTGAGAACCACTTTCACCCACTATTTTTAAAATTGTGCTATAAACACCCTTATAGTTTAGTAATTGGGCAAAAACATCCCTCAAACATAAAGTAATTGTAATATATCCGTTTTGCCCTTTTATCCTTTCGAAAATGCCCTTTACTCATGTTCGAGCCCTAAATCTGCAGAGCCACCATCTTCACCACCACTGCCGCCATTCCCAACTTTACCACCATGTAGAGAAAGAGAGGGGATGTCTTCTGCTCCTTCGGAGTCCATGGATACTGATTCAATCAAAGGCCTTCAATCTCTCTGCAATACTCATTGAAACAACTCGACAACGTCTCCACCGACTGCTGAGGCGTGGCCATAGACGACGGCGAGATGAGGTCATGAGTTGGATCTGTTGTGTGGCGGCGGCAGTGGGAACAACATAGTCGTGGCTCAGCGCAAGGATGTAGCCGACGGTTGACTGGTTGAGGCGTGGCCACAGACAGCAGTGATCGCTGGTCTTTGACTCCAACGACTAGTTTTCCCTCCAATTGGCGAACTTGGAGCTGCAAATGGACTCGCCACCAGTGCAGAGGGCTCAGAAGTTCTCAGCGATGCGGGGAGTGGTGTTGGCATACCGCTCCATCAAGATTTGGTCGGCCGGTGCACCGCTGATCACCATGTTGAAGAAGACCTTAGGGTTTTGGGAGAATACAAAGAGGAGGAAGACGACCACACTGCCTCTTGATTCTTCATGGGCATCGACGCCTCATTAGTCACCACCATCAAGCCCGCCTCCGACGGATCATCTCCACATGGCGACGATTGGTTGTCTCACCGATCGTCTTCCTCTTCTTCTTCACGAGCAAAACACACTCTCCTCTCTCTCTACTGGTTTGTCCGATCACACAAAAAACCTATGGCAATTTCACGAGAGAATGGAGCTCACCGGCAAGGCGACGTCGACAACGGCGAATGCCAGCCACGAAAGAATGGTGGCTGGAATGCAGCTTATGTCCTATTTGGCCATTTCATAAATGCAGCTTTTTAATATAATATGGGATGGGATGCTTTTTCTACTCATATCAGATTCAAAGTTCGTGATGGCTTTTAAAATTGGGTTATGCCTCGTTATCCTAAGGATTTGATTTGTATATGGAGAGGATGCCGTGTGAGTAGCGCTGTTCGCTACCACATTGTGTTTGGTGGTGCATTTGAAAGGAGAGGAAAAGTAGAATGTTCGAAGGGAAAGAATCGTCCACAGCGAGTCTGAAACTTCACATCATACGCTCTCTTTTCAGTTATGTGAAGAGGAATTCCTGTTCTTCTTCTGAAGATTTAATTATTTTTTTGGCTTCTTTGGGACCTTAATCCCTTTCCACTTTTGTATAAGGGATGCGTTCCCCTCTTGAACGCCTTTTTTATTTCAATTATTACTTATCAAAAATATATATATATATAATATGAAAATTATGTATAAAAGGGTAATTTGGTCATTCTATTAATTTAATGTGTCATATGGTACCTATTTGCACAATATTAAAAGTTGGGGGGTTTGTGCACATGAGGGAGTCAATATGCCCTATAAGCATGTCACAAGGGTGTTAAGTGCACTTAATCCTTTATATATTGAGGAGATTAATGGAAAGATACTACAGAAAAATAATGATCTATATGGATTTGAAGAAATTCTACTATTGGGTTTGTAGATATAATATATGGCGGGTTTTAAACAAGAAAGGAATTATAGTTAACTATTTTGATGTTCTAAAAGACACGTATAAAGAAACAATGACCACATTAAGAACACTGGTAGGAGAAACAAGTGAATAGCCAATTGATCAACATTGAGCTCATATCTTCTTTTTTTTTTTTTTTTTTTTTTTTTTTTTCGATAGGTAATTAGTAACCACACACGCACCCAATCGCCTCCACTGAAGCTTGAACTCTAGATCCCCCCTTTGGGGAGTAAGAGAAGGTACTGCTGGGCCACTTGGCCCTTTGGTCATATCTTTAGCCTTAGTTATGGATGAACTAGCACAGCACATTTAGGATGAGGTCACATGGTACATGCCCATATTGTTTTAGTTTAGGAAACTAGAGTGTAGATATAAGCGGTAAGCTAGAGGTTCGGAGAAAAATTCTGGAATCAACAGGTTTTGAGATAAGTAGCGCTAAAACTAAATTTGTGAAATGTAGCTTTAGCTACTAGAAATAAAATTAGTGATGTGAAAATCAAGGGTCAAGAGGTACCAAAAGCTAAGATTTTTGTTACCTAGGCTTGATTATGTACAGAGTGGGAGAGTTTGGTGACGACTTTAATCAGACAGTTAAAGCAGGATGAGTGAAATAGAGTAGTGCTCCAATCCTGTGTTATTTTCTTATACTTTTAAATTTTGAAGATAAATTATTTAAAACAGCCATTTGACTAGACACACCATATGGGATAAAATGGACGGCTAAAAAACAACTCGTAAAACAAATGTGGCGAAAGCAATGTGTGGTAAGACAAAAAAAGACAAAACTAGAATTGAACACATTCGTTAGATGGTTGAAGTAGCACCCATTTGGAGAGAAAATGATGGAATTGATTATCAAGGTTTGACCATGTGCGTCGATGGCTAATAGGTGCACTGGTTAGAATTAATAATGTGGTTCTTCTCGAGGATAATGTTTGGAGAAGCAATTATAAAAATTAACACCAATTGAGATAGTTAGGAAAGATATGATAGCGTATGGTTTAACTGAAGTTATGACCTTAGATAGAGAGGAATGGCGAAAATGGATTAGACAATAGTTGGTAAAAGGGCTTTGTTGAGTTATGTTAAATAATTGGCGGATTTATTCATCTCTCTCTCTCTCTCTTCTCTCAAATAATTGGCTAATTAAATACATGGATTCATTCATGTAGATGGATGGATATATATAGATGTGTATCATAATTAATTGTTTCTTCTTGGTACTCGACTTGGGTGCTCTATTTTTATCAAAAATTAGATAGAGAGGAATGGCGAAAATGGATTAGACAATAGTTGGTAAAAGGGCTTTGTTGAGTTATGTTAAATAATTGGCGCATTTATTCATCTCTCTCTCTCTCCTCTCAAATAATTGGCTAATTAAATACATGGATTCATTCATGTAGATGGATGGATATATATAGATGTGTATCATAATTAATTGTTTCTTCTTGGTACTCTACTTGGGAACTCTATTTTTATCAAAAATTATCTACTGACAGTTTCCGATATCTGTTACAGTTTGTTTCTGAGGGCTCTTCTGCAATTTAATCGGTTGCTTTACGGTCCTGCTTCTCCAATGGTGCACTCAAAGCTAAGAAGTTCGACCAGTTTCAATGGTCAAGTGGGAAAGGGAGTGGTTGATTTGCCGCTGGAGACAATCTCTGATATATTGACTAGACTTCCAATAGAATCGATCTTGATATGCAGAGTTGTCTGTAAGAGCTGGTATGACTTGACTCGAGATCCTGATTTTGTCCGCTTGCAACTTAGTAGATCAAATTATCAGCGAACCCGATTCATTATTCAACCAACGATTCAAGGATTTGCTAATGATTTCCGTCTACTTTTACTGGATGCTGAGGAGCACAACATTAAACAGATTCCCATTGAGAGAGAGGTGTTGAAAGGTGCTGAAATTATGTGTTCCTGTAATGGCTTGCTCTTCATAATTCCATATTTCAAGCTAAATCCTATGGTTATCTATAATCCTATGACACGACAGCGCCTGATTTTGCCATCATTGGATTGTGAAGTTAACGTAAGACCTGGTGAGGTTAGACCGACTGGTTTTGGCTTTGACCTCTCAACTGGCAGGTACAAAGTTGTCCGAGAATATCTAAAGGGTGGAATTGGATCCAACAGGTTTTGGATTCTTTCAGTTGGAGAAAGTTCGTGGAGAAAACTAAGTCCTCCTCCTCTGTGTCTAATTCATTGGACCTGGTATGGAAGTGAGTCAGTGTTCTGGAAAGGGGTCCTGTACTGGAAAATGGTAAAGTTAAATTTCCAAGGTTATGATGAGGTCGGCATCCTTGCATTTGATTTAAGTGAGGAAAAGTTTCAGATCATCTCTTTTCCACAGAGTTATACGAATGAGACTTCTCTTGACTTGCTGGATTTGGATGGACGTCTAACTTTAGTAGCACATGAGCCTGATGCTATTATGAAACTATGGAGATTAGCAGGAAAGAAGATTGGAGATTTTTCATTCTGCCTTGAACAGACATATGATACCTATGTGAGGTGGAATAAGAACTTGTTCTGTCAAGTGATTAGTAGGGTGAACCACAACGGTTACTTACTATTCGTGGTGCTTAAGAAGGATGGATCCATAATGACGCATGTTACTAAATTTTTTCCTCAGATGGCACAATACATGCATTTGGACTTGCCGCTCATTGCTGATTGCTTCGGGATTCACGGTTTCAGACCCAGCCTTGAATGTCCAGTCTCAGCTTCACATCTTTCCTAGAACCAGGGCTTTATTAGTGACCAGGCAACTTCTTTATTAGAAATTGAATATATATATATATATATATAATAAAATGTATTTGCACATATGCCTCCAGTGGGGCTTGAATCCTCACCTCCCTTGTAGGGGAGGCGAAAGCCATATTACTGGTGGTTATAAATTTGAACATGTTGTTTGAACTATTTTATTGTGTTTGAATTTTACTTCTTAATTTTGTTTGGTGCTATTTGTCATATAGAAAGTAGGATGGTTTTGGAAAAGCTTAATGTAGATGGCAAGAGCCTGTCAAGATGTTATTTGCTCGGAAGCCACTTTCACAGGAGGAAAAGCTTGTCATCCGATCTAAAAGCTAAAATGTTAGTATTTAGTCTGAATTTAATTTTTAATTTTAATTTTAATTTTTTTATACTTGTGTTTTAATAGAATAAGTGGGAGAGGGTATAGGGATTACTTCTCAAGTTTTAGATTATCTTGGGAGTGATCAAAGAGTAAAAAGAAAAGAAGAAAAAAGCCTCTAGCCCTCTATTCTCCTTGATACAGCATTTGATTTATAAGTTTGTGGAAAAGATCTTTAAGCCTTCCTGAAACATGCATTGATGCATTATTTATTCTTCATTTATAAAGTATATAAATGTAATTGCATGAGAAATAAATATAAATATATATATATATATCAAATGCTTTATAAATGTTCTGAGACATATTATTAAGAGCATATATACTAAAAATAATAATAATAAAGAAAAAGGGTTCTAAATAATCTCTCTCTTTGATAAAATGATGCAAAGAAAAAGCACACCTTTTATTATGCCTTGGCCTATGGAGCGTATTTTTTTAAAAGCCTCATGCTGACTCATCAAGTAAATCATATATGGAGTAATACAAATATATGTATATGTATATACACGCAGGCTCACAGGCAACATGAGAGAAAACAAAGATGAATGTAAAAAGGATATGATGCGAATCTATGACGAAATAGGCTGAGAACAAATTACCAGATGGTGGAATTAGAGATTGGAAGTTCCAAAGAATATACATATATGAAAAGCTATTATTATCTATCACGTATTCACGTCCACATACTCAGAATAAAGTAGAGTTTCTAAAAGCTAAGCTTCTTCACTTTCTCTCTCTCTCCCATTTTTAGACTTTTGTAATCTCACTTTATTTATTTATTTTTCATCAGACTTCTCTCTCTCGCAGTTAACACACAACAAACACACGAAATGCCTTTCCATCCAAAGCCTCTCTTCTCTCCGACACAAAAATCTTATTTTTTATTGGATGGCTCTTTTTGAAATTCTACGACTCTATTCGTTTTATACTTTCATCCAACGGTCTTTTTTATTTTATTTTTATTTTTTTCTTTTCATCCAACAGTTCTTTTTTTTAAGAGAATATCTATAAATACTAATTCAATTTTATCAACAATTCTCATCCTTCAACAATTATATATCTCAATATTTTTTATACTTTTTTTCTCACTTCATTATCATCCTTCAATCCTTCAACACTCTATAGATCCTCAACCTCCATTTTTTCACCCTGCATCAACCAATCTCATAATTTAGATTTACTACTACAATCCAATTGTGATTTTCACTCTTTAAAATAATAATTAAAAAAATTAAAAAATAAAGTGAATAGAATAATAGGGAAAATTACATATAAATGGAGTTAAAGTTCCATATTTACTTAGAGGCTGAGTCAAAGTTCCATATTTCTCTAAAATAGATTGCTGAGGTGGCACATGGTTTTTTACTGTTTAGAAATTGTGGTGCCTAAAATACCCTTCCGCGAAGGTACTACTTTTTCTTCGAAGGTACTACTTTTTTGAACTGAAGGTACTATTTTTTGGCGTCCAGGTACCATGTTTTTTAAACACCCGCGAAGGTACTACTTTTTCTCCGAAGGTACTACTTTTTTGAACTGAAGGTACTACTTTTTTGAACTGAAGGTACTACTTTTTTGTTAGGGAAGAGCATTTTAGGCACCACAATTTTTTAAACAGTAAAAAATCATGTGCCACCTCAGCAATCCATTTTAGAGAAATATGACTCAGTCTCTAAGTAAATATGGAACTTTGACTCCATTTATATGTAATTTTCCCTAGATAATATTAGGTACTTGATAAAATCCCAAACAACTATTGTTTAAAAAAAAACCTCAACAACACTCAATTAAAAACATTATTAAATGATCATAAATCATTGACCAAGTCAATTCCTACTCTCCCATTGTAAAAATGGCTCCACAAGTTGTTGCCTTCAATTTTGATGAGCCCTTCGTCTTTTTTTTTTTTTTTTAAATAAATTTTAAAAATGGACATGATTAATGAAAAACAGTGAATAGCAGTGCTGACACATTTTAAATAAGGCTAGATAAATGGACAAGTCAATATATATAGTGGAATTTTTTTTTTTCGAAAAGTAATATATATAGCAGAATTGTTGAGAGAGTAAAGAAGTACTGTGAATCGTGTAGGTGGGAGAGAGAAGCGAAAGTATCAGAAACTCCGACCAAACGAGACGAGGAAAGAATGGAGCCCAAAAGGACAAGGTTGAATCCCTTTTACTCATCACCTATATCTGAATCATACATGTATGTACTTGTGTATATATATATCGATACATATAAGTTGTTTTGTGGTTGATCTGTTGTTCTGCTACCTTGACTCTTCAATTTCTAATCCAACAAATGTCTGCAACAATATATACTCATGGGTTATTATCAACTATGAACATGTGAAATTGGAAACAAAATGGTATTATAGAAACGAAATTAATTGCTATATCAAAGAGAGTTTGAACAGATTATTTTGTTTTTGGTATTATTTGACGTATCAACTAGCTGATCTGAGGAAAATTGTATCTAATTAATTAAATCATCTTTGATGGTTTGATAATTGCTTCCTTTTGTGTTAAAATGAACCCCTTGAGAACACTTAGTCCTTTCGAATCAGTGAAATGTAAAATGGAGCCCTTGAAAACACTTATGTTTTGGTGGATAGCTTACTACTAGGTTGGATTGGATGTTAAATACTGATGATATTGTTTTAGTTGAGGAAACCAGAGCGGAGATCAGAGTTAAGCTAGAGGTTTGGAGAAAGACTATAGAATCAAGAGGTTTTAAGATGATTAGCTTTAATAAAACTAGAAATACAATTAGGGATTTAGTGAAATCAAGCCTCCAAGAGGTACCAAAAGCCAAGATTTTTGTATCTAGGCTAGATTATGTGTAGAGTGGGAGAGTTTGGTGACAACGTTAATCACAGAGTTAAAGCAGGATGGGTGAAATGAAGGAGTGCTTCTAGAATCATGTGTTAGTTGCTTATACTTCTTAAATTTTGAAGATAAATTTCATAAAACAACTATTTGTCTGGTCATACTTTATGGGATAAAATGGACGGCTAGAAAACAACTCGTAAAACAAGTGTGGAGAAAATGTGAGTGTTGAGAGGAATGTGCGGTAAGACAAAAAAAGAAGAAGATAAAACTAGAATTGAATACATTCATGAGATGGTTAAAGATAAAGTGAGAGAATATCATGGTTTGACTATGTGCATCGATGGCTAATAGGTGCACTGGTTAGAAACAATAATGTCGTTCTTATTGAGGGTAATACTAGGAGAAGGGAATTATAAAAATTAACATCAGTTGAGATAGTTAGAAAAGATATGATAGCATTAGCATATGGTTTAATTGAAGTTATGACCTTTAGATAGAGAGGAATGGCGAAAATGGATTCATGTAGCCAATACCAGATAGCTGGGAAAAGGGCTTTACTGAGTTGAGTTAAATACCCCCTCCTCTCCCCTCTCCCCACAGCAAATATCTATTGTCCTGATGAGTCTGGTTTTTTTAATGATATTTAATGATCTGGCATTTCTTTGTTCATTGCCTCGTTTATCTTTTAAGGAAACAAAATAATACTTTTACATGTAAATCCATATGCTAATAAAGCTGAGCACTTTCTAAGTTTGATGTTCTTACATACTGCAAAATGGTTTATCACTAACTTAGCAACACAAAGGTAATCTTTTGGCAGAATTGTTCTTTCACTTTTTACTGAAACTGTTATGTGGTCAAATTCTTACTTCTAGAGTTCTTGTCTTGGGTGTGTGCTTGTTAGATACAGAACATTATAGAACATTTCAAGGGCGTTTTTCAATATTACCTAATTTATGTATTCTTGGTATACAGCATTGTTGCATGATTAGATGGTTGGATATATATAGATGTGTATCATAATTAACTAAGGTTGTTATATTTGTTTCTTCTTGGTGCTCTACTTGGGTACTCTATTTTTATTAAAAATTATCTACCAACATTTTCTGATATCTGTTGCAGTTTGTTTCTGAGGGCTCATCTGTAAGAAAGATCTTGGCAATAAACAATTTAATCTGGTGCTTTACAGTCCTGCTTCTCCAATGGTGGACTCAAAGCGAAGAAGTTCAACCAGTTTCAATGGTCAAGTGGGAAAGGGAGTTGTTGATTTGCCGCTGGAGATAATCTCCGATATCCTGACTAGACTTCCAATAGAATCGATCCTGGCATGCAAACTTGTCTGTAAGAACTGGTATGACTTGACTCGAGATCCTGCTTTTGTCCACTTGCAACTTAGCAGATCACCAACCCGATTCGTTATTGATCCAGCGCTTTCAAGAGTTGCTAATGATTTCTATCTACTTCTATTGGATGCTGAGGAGCCCAAAGTTAAACGGTTTCCCATTGAGAGAAAGGTGTTGAAAGGTGCTCGAATTGTGTGTTCTTGCAATGGCTTGCTCTTGATAACCCCAGATCTCAAGCTAAATCCTGTGGTTATCTATAATCCTATTACAAGACAGCGCATGATTTTGCCATCGTTGTTGGATTGTAAAGGAAAGTTAAGAAGTCATCAGGCTGGTTTAGGATTTGATCTCTCAACTGGAAGGTACAAAGTTGTCCAAGAATATAGAAAAATTAGAAGTGAATCCAACAGGTTTGTGATTCTCTCACTTGGAGAAAATTCATGGAGAGAATTAAGTGCTCCTCCCGGTCTACTTGATTGGGACTGGGATGGATGGGAGTCACTGTTCTGGAATGGGGCACTGTACTGGAAAATGGTGAAGACAGATTTACAAGGTAATTGTAACATCGGCATCCTTGGATTCGATTTAAGTGACGAGAAGTTTCAGATCATCTCTTTTCCAAAGAATTTTACGAGTCCTGGGCCTGCTTTTGACTTGCTGGATTTGGATGGACGTTTAACTTTAGTAGAACATGAATATGATACTAATATGATGAAACTATGGAGGTTAGTAGGGAATAAGATTGGAGATTTCTCTTTCTGCCTTCAACAGACATTTGATACCCATGTGAGGTGGAATGATGACTTGTTCTGTGAAGTGATTAGTGGGTTGAATCAAAATGGTTACTTGCTATATGTGGTGTTTAAGAATGATGAATCCAAAAGGTCACATGTCACTAAATTTTTTCCTCAGATGGCACAATACAAACAGTTGGACTTGCCGCTCATTCCTGACTGGTTCTGGATTTGTCGTTTTAAACCCAGCCTTATATGTCCAGTCGCAGCTTCACTTCTTTCCTAGAAGTAGGGCTTTATTAGTGACCAGGCAACTTCTCTCTTAGAAATTGTGTATAAATATATGCATGTATCCAATGTGGCTTGAATCCTCTTCCTCCCTTTTGGGGAGGTGAAAGACATATTACTGGTGGTTACTTGTGGTTAGAAATTGAACATGTTGTTTGAACTATTCTCTTATATTTGCTTTTTACCTGTCTGTAGAATGTTCACAATTTTTTGGTGCCATTTTGTCATACAAGAACTATGAGGGTTTGGGGCTTATAAAAGGAGTAGTTAGCAGATAGAAAACACGCTTCCATAATATTTGACACACAGAAAAAGATATCTCAATAGTAGCAGATGCAAATAGAGCACAATTTGAGAATAAATTAAGGGTAATTTACACAAACCTCCCCTATAGTTTGCCATAATTATAAGAACCTCCCCTCCTGTTTGGGAATTTATTCGGACCTCCCCTAATTTTGAAAATATCCTACACGGACCTCCCTTATGTGTGACGGACCGTTAAATATATTAACGGACTCGTCAAAATTACTGAAATATCCTCTCCTTGGAATCTGAAATTACTAAACTATCCCCATAAGTTATTGAGTAGGCATGACATCAGCTTGTCATCTTTTCCAAAAGCACATGTCACAGAATCCATCACTAACCTTCATTCAAGGATTTACTTTCTCTCTCTAACTTACCCAAATCCACTCTCATATAAAGTGCAACCATCTAAACCAAATAATCAAGAGGCCAACTCATCTTATTGCATAGATTTCAGTGAGAGCATATATATTCAGCTATGTTTGATTCTGGCCCAAATCGTCTTCCTCTGCACTTTTTTCGGCATAATCCGACAATATATTGCAGGTTTGATATGGCAAAATTCTAGCAATAATATAGGCTGCAAATTAGAAAGATTCCCAAATTCATGTTATTAGTTTCAATCATTTCCAACTGATTTCGATTCGGTCTCAGGAGAGTTTAATTCTCACCTGCAAAAACTTAATTGTAATCATGAAAAACTTCTTGGGAGAACGAATATTTAAAATTTAAAAAATTAATTAAATTTGTTTCATATCTTCCAGTGGTGGCAAACGAAACATAACTAAAAAGCGAAGGCATAACTCTCATCTACTATTTCTTCTATATGAGTTAAATACAATCATCTCTTCTAGAAGTAGAAAGGACCATAACTAAAGATATTATTCAATATACTAGTCTCATTATTCAAAACACACACGCACACACATAATCAATGAGCCAAAAGTCCTATTCCCCTTCTTGCCGCTTGACCCAATACCCATCTTCCACCACCTTCTTCCTTTGATCCACCCACTCTCTTACTATCAATCCTCTCTCTTTAACTCTCTCTTTGAACCCATTTCCTAGTTCTTCCTCTTTTTTCTTCATAACCCACACAAAATTCACCATTGATTTCTCTAACCGAACTACAATTTCATGTAATTGCGCTTCTGATATCTCTGCTTGAGAGCCAAACGCCACGTAAAGAACAGTGCTCCCCTGTTCTTGCTTTTTACTGGAAGACTTGGCGCCTCTACCAGAGATTGGTGTTGACTCCGCGAGTTTCGAGTCGGACTCGGTTACGAAGTCGAAATCGTTGATGCTGTGTATTAAATTCCCAAATATTGTCTACTGGTTTTATGCTGTGTATTATATACACACACACACACATAAGTATATATATATATATGTTTTATGCTGTGTATTATATACACACACACACACATAAGTATATATATATATATATATATATATATATAGCTTTTAAATATAGTATGAAATTTTATAGACAGGGGTATTCTAGGAATTTTAGTAAAAATAGTAGATGACGTTATCAATTTTCATCATTGACTGCCGTTCAGTTTAACAGAAGGGAGGTCCGTGGAGGATATTTTCAAAATTAGGGGAGGTCCGAGTAATTTTCCAAACAGGAAGGGAGGTCTCTGTAATTATGGCAAATCAACCGGGAGGTTTGTGTAAATTACCCATAAATTAATTATGAATGTTATTATTTTCTTCTTTCTCAACCACCTTCTTCTTTCTTTCTTTCTTTTTTTTTTTTTTTTTTTTTTTCTTCTTTTCTTTTATCAAGTCAGCTGCAAAAAAATATTTAACAATGTTTTTTTTATTAAGAGAAGGTGTCTCTTTGAATGTTTTTTTTATTAAGAGAAGGTGTCTCTTTGACTTATGGCTCTTCAAAGCCCATTTTAGGTGAGCCAATGCACTAAAGGCCGCGCAGTGGCCTAGCTAAATTTGATTGGGCCCAGCCAGGAGGGGAGGTCTTTGTAATTATGGTAAATCACAGGGGAGATTTGTGTAAGTTACCCATAAATTAATTATGAATGTTATTATTTTCTTCTTTCTCAACCACCTTCTTTTTTTTTATTTTTTATTTTTTATGCAACTTTAGAAGAAAATCATGAGTTCCTAAACCTTAAGCTCTGATACCACATGTAAACTATAATTATTCATGTCAAGCGTTAATTACATGATTTACATGAATCCCATATCTTAGAACTTCATGATTTTTACATATCTATGATGCATAAATAAATAGTTAGATTTGTAATTGTAAATCTCATAGAGATCAAGGCAAACGTCGAAATCCTTTTTGCGGGACGAATAATATGCTAAACTGCAATAACCAACGCGTGGAAACCGATTTCTTTCTCTTGGCCTTTTGCACACATAAATATTATACATGTTTTTATTAGCGTACATAATTGATGGGATATATACATTTTTATAAAGGTAAAGAGAGGACCAGTTTTCCTTTTTAGTAATCTTAATTCCACTTTCCATCAAAGTAAAGTATAAATAGGAAAACACTTCTCCAATAATTAATTACTATAAAGGTAATTTATAAGTTGACCAAATAATATAATTTTAATCCGATATCTATTTACTTGACCACTAATTAATGAAATATATCAGAAGTCCAAATCATGTGAGCCACACAATCAAATAAATAATCTTACATTTGCTGGCCCGCGATCGCTGGAATTTTTTTTTTTTTTTTTTTTTTTTTTTCTTGCTTCAAAACGGCACCGTTTGGGCTTCCCCTCTTTTGTCTTATTCTCCAGCTCCTGAACAGTGCGCCAAATAGTGCCTCGCAGTTTTTTTTATTTTTAAAAAACCTAAAAATAGGTTATTTTGAGCTCCTTCTAGAAAAAAAAATTCATTAAATAAAAAATATATTGTTTAGGTACTATTTATAAAAAATAAAAAAATAAAAAAAAATTATTTAGGCCAAAAATAAATTCAAAAAGCTTTTTTTTTTTTTTTTTGTTTTTTCCCCTTAAATTTTTTTTTATTTTTTTTATTTTTTTTAAATGTGTACCACAAACAATGCATTTGGCCATTAAGGCACTGTTTGACTGACACAAATTGTGCCTTAACGGCTATAATTTTTTAAAATGTATATATAATTTTTTTTAAAACTTTTGTAAAAAAAATAATTAAAATTATAAATTTATCTACTTATTCCCATAGGATTTTGTAATCCTTATTTTCTTATTCCAATTCATTATTTTTAATTCTTATTTATTTGGGCCAAAAATAAATAAAAAAGCTTTTTTTTAAAAAACTTTTTGTAAAAAAAAATAATTAAAATTACAAATTCATCTACTTATTCCCATAGAATTTTGTAATACTTATTTTCTTATTTCAATTCATTATTTTTAATCTTAAAAAACCATTACAGAATAAAATTTCTAGTACATGAAATGTCATAACATCTTAAAAACAAACAAAATGTAACATAAATTAAACATCTTCATCAGCATAGCTGAAAGTACAAAGAATTTCCCTCAATTACTGAGAGAGAGATTTTACACTTTCAATGATTTCTAACCCTTTTCCCCCAATTACCGAGAGAGAGATTTTACACTTTCAATGATTTCTAACCACTTTTCCCTCTCGATTTCCCTTATTTATAGACGGTTCCCCCTATACCCATTCTTTTGTTATGCTTTTAACAAATTGGGGCTCTGCCTTCTGCAGGTTAACCCTAACTTCCTTAGGGTAATTTCAGTCCTCCTGCTCTTGAATCGTGACAGGGGTCTCAACCTTGACATTATCGACCTTCTCCTCTGCTACCGGATTAATAAAATTTCACAAAATGATTTGTACTATCACTTCTTCCCTATTGACAAACGGTCGATCTGCACTGATAAGAACTCATTTGAAAAAGGTTGGAGACAAAACTTAATTGTGGTTAGTGGGAATTGGCGGACTCCGCTCGGCCAATCTTTCTTTATCCCTTCTTCCTTTGGAACATGCTCTGTCTCTGGCTACAAAAAGCTGAAAACACATCCTACTGAATGCTACTGTGAAAGTTGTCTTCCCCGTTTTTGCACTTTTCTTTGTAGATGCCTTCAAATTCCCCATGATGAACTGGTTTATAACGTCTGCAGGGCTAGGCTAGACATCTTGCAAGAGAGTGTGCTGAACAATGTCCCTTCAGCTACTGATTTGCTTACATCTGACAATCTCTCTTTTAGGGTCCACAATGGAGAGCATTCAGATCCCATCTTTCAGCAGGAGGAGACGTTCTGCTCCCACCCCTTCTAACGCTCTTGCTACCACATCATCATCTACACCTGCTTCCATATCGTCCACCCTTGCTGTTTCTACCCCAGAGCAAGCTGTAATTGCTCCAACTGTAACACAGGTTACAAACTGTTCTGCTGTTGAGCCTTTTGAGCTCACTCATGCTGAGAACCCTATTGTGGATCACACTACTGAGATTCATCCTGCTGCTCCCATCATTATGCCTTCAAACATTTCGTCTGATACTTCCTCAGAGAGCACTCAGGATGCTGGAAATTCTTAGGACAATGGAGGACCAGCTAATGCTGGTTTGTCAGAAAAAAGTTTAGGAAAAAGGCCAATACCTGAGGGCGGTCATGACCGGAGTGATATCCCACCAGCCCGAAGGACCAAGATGGCTTCCTTCAGGGTTACTGAACCATTTCCCCCTGCCCGGTTATTCATTCTAGAAGGCGAATCAGCCAAAACCTTTGGTCCGACTCCATCCGTTCTTTCATGGTGACCTTTGCTCAGCCGTGAAGATGGCTCGACCATTGGCCCCACCGACTCTATGTATAAGGACCCCCTCACCTCCTTTGCTTTCTACAAGGGTTTCTGGACCCCCAA